AAATTATTAACAAATACTTTCAAAGTAAAGTTACTTTGTCTGTATTATCTCTTCTATTTCTTCCTTCGGATGGTTTAGATTTAAGCGATACAGCATTATCCACTTCATTTGCCAATGTTTTAAAAACAGCAGATTTTTCTGCAGAACTCATCATTTGCAGTGGTGGTTTATTTCTTCCTTTTCGTGGTGTTGCTAAAGAAAAGGACAAAGAATAGCTACATTTTTTTTAATTATTGCTATTACTGAGTTACTTTTGATATGAAGAAAGTAAGAAAGGGAGGTTCTAAGATGGTTCCCAGGTTTCTGATTTAGATAAATAAGTGGATATAGATGCCATTTACTAAGATAAAAAATGGAGGAAAAAATTAGCCAGGCATGGTGGCACATGCCTGTAGTCCCAGCTACTAAGGAGTCTGAGGCAGTAGGATGGCTTGAGCCCAGGAGTTGGAGGTTGCAGTGAGCTATGATGACGCCACTGCACTCTAGCCTCGGGTGACAGAGAGAGACTCTGTCTAAAAAAAAGGTGGAGAAAAAATTGGCAGGGAGGGTAGAAAGGTGGAGAGATGAATTCAATTTTGTACCTATTAAGTTTCAGGAGCTTAGTAGGCAACTGAATTTTTGAAACAGAAGGTAAATATTAAATTTTCATAAAAACTAAATAAGATTTTATTCAAAACAATTAGTATAGAGTACCAGATTTTGCATTTTTAAACTTTTATTTAGCTCTTACCAGGCATTATTTGACAAGATTCCTTATTGAATGAATAACTTTTATTTAATTCTTTAAACAACGTGATGAGATAGATACTTTTTTCCACTTTATAGAAAAGAAATTTGGTTTTAAACTTAGCTAAAGGATAATCTGTACAAAGTACAAACCCAGGAGTGGGGAACTAAGCAGCCTGATTAATTTGATATTTAACCAGTATGTTACGCTGCCTCCTGCTTAAATTATGACACATTATTAATGCTTAATATTTTGAACACTGTTTATATATCAATACCCATTATACCTTTCTTCCCATTAGAATACATTAGTGGTTGATATTTTAATCCACTTTTATAGCCCCAACTTATCCTCTATGTAAATTATTTCCAGAATTTCTCTGAATTAAAATGCCTCATTTACAATATAATACTTGCTAGAAATCTTTTAAGATTATAAAACTTACTTGTGTTGGTTAAAAGTAGTGGACTTCTCTCAGTGTATCTGTGTGCACCAGTAAGAATCATTGATGCTTCAGACATTTTTCTTTTGCTAGGAGTAATTATCTTAAACCATGATGAGAAACAATCACAGTAAACACACATTCTTTTTGAAGTTAAATATCCTACAGTTTTACACATAAGCTTTTGCCTTGGCTACATGCAAAAGATATATGGTTTTTAATTAACAACAATATCCAGAAAAGTCTGTGTTTTAGGCTGACTTGAAAGATTTTATCCTCATATTTGGTATTGAATAAGTAGACAAAACAAGAAATATTTTAAAAAACTATAGAATATCCAGACTTATGAAATACAGTACTTTTGTACGCTAGCTGAAAATATTTTATCTATATTGAGTTTATCTAGTTAACCATAGCTTGCAATTTCCTATTCTATTTTGTAAGAGTGACATTTAGATACATACTTATGTAAAATTATTTTGAATGTTTTCATAATGTTAAGCATTCTTCAAAATTGTCACACATTTTTGAAGAGTTCATTAATAACCTGTGAAGACTAAACTGTAGTAAAGTAGTTACAGGAATTCAGAGATTCACTGGCACATAGGCTAGTGGTTCCAATAAGGTTTGTACTTTCCCACATCATCCCAGAGTGATTTATGAGAGTGACAGTAGATAACAGAGGCAGGGACTAAAGGAGATAGGAGTTTCAGAAAGTGCCACGTAAAGGAGTATATAGTGACATACTGTATATAAGCATTGGAGAGCTGTTTTTAAAAAGACATCTTCCCCTAAATTAGGAGGAAAAATGGAGTTGTGAGTAGTATGTATATGGGCTGTGGGGGAAGGGTAGGGAGAACAGAAGAAAAGGGAATTCTAAGATTAACCAGAAAACAAGCTTCTGAACCAGCAGATTCTTCCTAAGGAAATTAGTTTCTAGTAGTAGTACATTGAATAGGATCTGAAAAGCTACCTATTCATATAAATGCCTCAAAAAGTTAATCCTTACTGAAAATACAGCATGTATTTAAAAACACTACATTGTTTTTCAAACTTTGGTGTGCTTAAGACCTTTCCCAGAGTTTATGATTCAATAGGTTTTAGGTGGGGTCTAAGAATCTGCATTTTTAATATACACCCAACATGATTCTGATAAAAAGACACCAAAGATAGATTTTGTGATCTAATTATCTAGGGGAAATAAAAGATGACATTTTTATTTTGAGGACACAAGACTACAGGAAAAAAACAGTAACATAAATATGCCAAAAAATATGGAATCACCTGTGAGAGTTATAGTTATCTAAAGGTGAAAGATTAGCAAAAACTGAAATAATCAGGAAAAACTCCAGGAAGAAAGTAAAAATGAAGCAAGAATTACAAATGTAAATATGCGCACTACCCGAAGGATGGACATATTTGAAACACGGACTTCGGTGGGGGGGGGGAACCAAGGGCAACACAC